AACTCTCGTCAATATGCGTTTTTTGCATTGCATAGCTGCAAAAAACGCGTAAAGAAATCAAGACTGTTAACAGGCGTTAGACGCGCAACATCACTACACTTGGTTTGGTACACGCTGTTGCTATAAAAATATATTCTCTATTAGAATAGGACAATGAGTGGATCCAGCCGACGGTGATAAGGCAAACAGAGAGCAATCTTTCTTACTGAACATTCATAAGAAGACGTTGTTATATGTATGATGACGGATTTTTTTCTTTCACATGTGTCGAATAGGTGAGTAAGATACTCATAAGAAAAAGCTGTTGAACTTCTTTTCTAGTCACTGGAGAATTTAGCCGCTACTTTGAGTAGTGCACAGCAAAAAAGCACGACCTTGTAGATCGCATGATATGCGACCCTGTTTGTTGCCGAAAAAATCAAGACTAAAATCATCAGGACAACCGCTATACTGATCTTAAATTCATAATATTGCTAGGAGATTCCCACAGGCTGGGTCTTGTGATTCTGGACTGCATACTTTCGTTATAATTCACACCCCTTTTGAAACATAAGAAACTTATTCGTGAAATGTTAGTTATCTAATTGTCTGTCCCCCAAGTTACATGTTTTTGTTTTTAAAATTTCCGTAAATCCAAGCTTTGGACCGATTCTGAGCCTCATTGGCAGAACCCTTTTAGAAAGCACCCATAAATGCCAGACGGAAAAGTGATGATCGCAGTAGAATTTTTAAAATTTTTCGTTTTTGAACATTTGCCAATAATAGTTTAAAGAAGACAAACAGATTTTGACGGAAAAAGAAAAGTACGCGAAAGCAAAAAAAATGTGAAGAGAAGCGACCGACAGAAAACCGAACTGAAATAAAGGGCCAATTGTGCCGCACCTTTTGAGAAAAACAATGATAGATTTTTAGGATTAAGGCACGAAAATTTGACCTCATCAGAACGAATACATTTGGATGGTGATTTACGCTGCTTGGCACGAACGTGTCGACATCTTCTCTCGCTGATATCCTCAATGAAGGGATCAGTTGATTCACTGGTGCTGGCGGTCACTTGCTGCTTATCCGAAGCATCATCCACCTAGAAAATCAAAAAAAAAAACTAACGAATGAATGCATGAAGTCATTAGTATCATATTGCATTGCTATAATGACTC